TGCCGCATATGATTAAATTCAAACAAGAGCATTAATATCACATGACACAGATGCAGTATATCACACGTTACACATTCCGAGACACAAACACTCATGCGTACTGTCTGCATGAGGTCACATCTTATGAATAGCTGATCACATGTTTTTCATAACGGTCACAACAGTTTCGAACAGCAATGTGTGATATTCACGATCACAGTTCCGTCAAAAATCACATTTTCATCAATCGAAACTTATTTAGCATGAATAAATGACAAATTATAATAAATAAATCATAATTACATACCTGATGAATGTAATTACACACTTGTTGAATGTAATTAGTGACTGTTCGAGGGACCGTGTTTTAATCCGAGGTAATGCGACCCAAGGACTACAATTTGTGACTAGAATTCGATTTTACTGTCACTTTCGCGAGAGTCGATGGTAATTTGGATGTATTTTCAGATCTTCTGGCCACTAAAATCAGTTTGAAAGATGATTTCTTCTTTTTTTGGAGAATCTTGCTAGGTACAGTATCTCACACTAATTGTGCTGGATTGTTTTTCATTTTTAATTAAATTAATATTTGTATTAATTTTTAGGCTAATATATGATTGGTGAAATATGATACTTATTTTCTTATTTTTGAAATGCCCTATACTTAATCTTTTGTATATGAAATTTTCCTTTTTAAAAAAAAAAAATGGTCAAAGGCCATATTGAAAAGATGGTCGGGTCCACTAATTCCTCATCTTAGGGCCCTTATGATCAAATGTTAAAGGAACAATATAAAAAAAGTAAGGAGAAAGAGTTTGACTATTAAAATTTCTTTAAAAGTTCAACAAGCTTTTGTCCACTTCCATTAAAAATGTAAGATAGAGGTGGCAACTTTCAATGCCATTTCACTAAGAGGAAGCAAAAGAGGATTTAATCATTCTATACTCCTATAAAGAATGTTGCCCATTGAAGTTCACATCATGACACAATTAGATACAACGAAGCAATCATCGAAAATAAAAATCACCACAAAAAATACACTGATATTTGATTATTCTTTTAACTTGACCGTGAGGGTGTATTAAAAGTCATGCACGACTAGGGGGGACAAATGGGCCGAGCGGCTCGTCAGCTCGCGAAAATGGAGCTCGTGGACTGCTCGGGCTCGTAAAAACACGAGCCCGAGCGAGCCGAGCGGGCCAGTTCGGTGGGCGAGCCGTGCGGGCTCGGCTCGCACAAAAAACGAGCTGCTCGCGACGAGTTTGGAAATGAACCACGAGCCCAAGCTCGTGGGCTCGTGTTAAATGTGTCACTTTATCAAACGGTCACTATATATATATATATATCAATATTTCTTTTCTTCTTCTATAAATAGTGGCATTTAGCCACAAATTTTTTTACAATTCTCTCTTAGCTCTCAATTATCTTTCTCTCAACTTTCTTGTATTGTGTTGATAACTTGCAATTTTTATATACAATTTATACAATATCCAATTCTCATTTCTCACTATATTTATTGAAATTTCATCCAATTTTAATTTCTCACTACATTTATACAATTATTCTTCTACTAGTTATTACTTATTACAACTAAACAAATGGACCCACGCTCATTTGTCGAAAACTTGTTCGGTGTGGGAGAAAACGAATCGCCTATGACACCGCAAAGTTAATTTCAGAATCAATTTGAAGGTCTAAATGACGTACCCCTACCTGAAAATATTCCAGATTTGGATCTTCATCATCATGTAAGCAGCAATCCAAATTATCCAATTAATTTGGATGATGTTGACGTTCTCGAAGCGGAATACGATCAGGAAGAAGATGCTGAATTAAACATTCCTGATGCGAGGAGAAAGCGAAAGGAAAAAAACAAGCAAAATATTGGGATCACTTTAAGTTGATTTCAACGGGAAAAATTGTTAATGGAGTCCAAGAATCCAAAACAGTATATAAATACTGCCAACAAAGATTGGCATAACAAAGAGGAATTTGTACCACCCATCTCAACCGTCATTACAAAGTATGTGTGGCCAAACACGGACTTATTCCAGGCTGTTAAACACAATTGCAATTTGGTAGTCCAGACGCCGGTGGTTCTACTGCACCCCTATCCACATGGGTGTATTCAGAGGAGAAAGCTCGAACCAGAATGGTGAAGCTTGTTGCTAGTGCTGAGTTGCCTTTGGCATTAATTGACAACCAACACTAGGTGTCGTATGTGAAAGAATATCTGCAGCCAAGGTACGTTGGGGTAAGTCGAAACACTCTTCGTTCCAATACAATACAATATTTTACTTCAACAAAATAACAATTAATTATGGATTTACAAAAATATGGGGGTGTCATATCTTTAACTTCAAATATATGGGAAGTGATTAATAAAAGAGCATATATAGCTGCAATTGCACATTATATAGACCCATTTTGGTGCATGCATAAAAAAATTATTGCTTTAAAATTATTGAGCTTTCTCACAACGCTAATAATATATTTAATATTATTATTAGTATTGTTAGAGAATATCATTGCGAAAGTAAAATTCGTTCATTTATTTTCGATAATGTTAGTGTTAATAAAGTAGTTGCAGAAAAATTGCATAAAGTACTACAACCTGATTTTGGTGGGTATTTGTTTCATATTCGTTGTGTATGTCATATTTTGAATTTAATTGTCCAAAATGGTTTAAAATATATAAAAGATGAATTTCAAAATATTATGAACGCACTAATATATATCACAATCTCTCCAAATAGAAAACAAGCATTTGCGGATTAATGTGCCGAAATAGGAGTGCAAAATGCTAAAACATTTGTTAGTGACATAGGTCATAGGTGAGACTCTACTTACTTGTTCTTAAAGTCATGTAAAGATTTTGAACATTTAATAACTGACTTTTATAATAATAGACATGTTAGAAGTGATGACGAGGGTATGTTGACCGAACGTGATTGGCATTTAGCTTTGAAAGTTAAAAAAAATTTGACATCTTTTTATGAAACCACTAAGATTTTATCGGGCGTTTACTATCCCACCTGCTGTATGGTACTTGAACGTCTTTATATAATTGCAAGAATATTTCATAAATACAGAAATGACCCTGATTTTAGTAAAATTATAATTGCTATGGAATAAAACTTTAGAAAATATTGGGAAGATTTCCCTATGTTATTTCCTTTAGCATGCGTGATGGACCCCTGATAAAAATTATCGGGAACTAAATATATAAATGATCAAATTTCAAACGCCTTAACATTATAATTGATCAAATTTCAAACGCCTTAACATTTGATACACCTATCACATATAGAAATTTAGAGCAAACATTATGTGAAATGTATGAATTATATGTGAACCGAATGGGTACCAATATTAGTCGGGTACCATCTGCACCTACTCCTTCCATTGAAATTGAAGAAGAAGATGCGGAAATATTTAATTTATTTCAAGGCATTAATTCGTATAGATTTGATTCATCTGCAATGTGTTCATCTACTACCACTACCATGTCATCACCATCTGTATCTCATTCTCATCATACATCTACGAGCTCAAGACATAATGCATTGTCTGCTGAATTAATTGATTATTGCAACCAGAATATGCCAACGAAAAAACAATTAAAAAAAGTCCAAACGAAGTAATTGAATTCTGGCGAAGGTATGAACGACGTTGGGCAGTTATATTTGCGATTGCAAAAGATCTGCTGACACCTCCGGTTAGCACTGTTGCTTTGGAGTCTGCTTTTAGTGCAGGTAAAAGAGTTTTGAGTGAGGTCAGGAGCCGACTAAAAGAAAATATTTTAGAAGCGTTAATGTGCGTTAAGGATTGGTAGGACGTTCATTTTCGACTACAAGATAAATATACCGAAATTGCATGTCGTCAAGTAAGTGATATTTGATTTAATTATATTGATGAAACTTTTCTTTTCTTATCGTTACTTTTAATTTTCTTTAAAAAATTGTACACGCTACAAAAAATTGTTCGTATATAATTTTTAACTCCGCCTACTGAAAATTTAAGTAGCCGGTCCCAAGCCTGGATAAAGGAGGAAGGTTTATATTTTATCTATTTTAAAAAGAAAAATAAAAAAAATAAAGCTTTCATTTTTATTTTTTCTATCTCTTTTAGTTAAAAAAAATTACTTTTTTATTTTTCAAATCACCTATTTGTTCCAAAAAAAAAAAATGAATAAATAAAAATTGAAAAAAGACGTCTACTAGCGAGCCGGGCTCGGCTCATGGCGAGCCCGAGCCGAGCTCGTGATTCCAGCCGGCTCAGCCCATTGACAACCCTATGCACGACACTGATGTCAAACTTATTTCTACAGCAAGATGATGTCCAAATTATCAAAACTAGTCTCTGAGCACCCATATTTATATTTTTTGTTTATTTGTCTGTGAAATGCCTTTTTTAAGTAAAAAGTAAAATAATAAATAAATAAATTATCAATTAGTATCTCACAATGTCAATTTTCAAACAAGACATATAATCAATAAAAAAAACCTCTATCTAGATTGATATTACAAGATTAGACTTGAGTGAGAAAAGAAATTACAATGTTCTATTGTCATAAAAATTTCAACACACACAATTCCCATTTAGGGTCTCAAAATCATAGCATAAGAATTTTATATTCCTTTGTTGACTGTTCCATTTAGGGTCTCAAAATCAATGTTCCTTTGTTGATATTACAAGATTAGACTTGAGTTGTTTAATGTTGAAAGAATTCTCTTGATTGGGAGAAGTCAGGTTGTGGGCCTTTTGTAGACAATGTCTTTTCAAAGTAATTTAAGTTTGTCTTTGCTCAAAAAAAAATAAAATAATAATAATAAATAATTAATTAATTAATTAAAATAAAAATTATAATAAAATGATATAAATTAAAGAAAGATGACAAGGGTTTCGCCAATTTAGCCGTTGGCAAGTAAGTGAGTGCAGGGTGGCAAAAAGAGAGCCTTTTTACTATTCTCCTAATTCTCATTTCCTACAACCTTTAAAACCTCAATCCAACAATCTTTTTATTCTCACTCTCACTCTTTTCCTGCCTCTTAAATCTAACCAAACTCGTATCTTAATCAAACTACTTATTTCTTAATTGCCTTTTCTTTCTTTCTATCAAAAAAAGTAGCTGACTTTTCACGTCAAAGCATTAGGCTGTTTTGCATTTCTTTATCTTTTCATTCCCGTCGTCTGCAATAATGGATGCTTTGTCTCTGAATTCCATCTCTGTAGCATCAAAATGGGTTGTAAAAGCGACCGATAGAAAAATACAATTATGGAAGAATAAGCAGAAACTAGTGTATTGCCACCAAGGTGGTGGTGGTCCTCATGCAATAAAATCAAGTGGTATGTCTTCTGTTTTGATTGAAAAATCAACGGTGATTAGCACAGATCATGGAAGGGGCATAATGGAATCTGGCAATGTAGTTTCAACCCCAAATGAGAATACCCAGGCTACAGCAGATATTGAAGTCAAGGATTTGGCAACATATGGCTGCGGTTCATCTACTCTGGTGGACAGGCATGATGATGGCATTGGCATTGTTAATTTTCTTAGAGGAAAATCTCTTCTCATTACTGGAGCAACTGGTTTCTTAGGAAAAGGCAAGTCACTTTCTTCATTTTCCAGTTATTATTATTATTTTTTCTTCCGCCTGCTTTTAAAAATAGCTTTTAAGCACATCTAAACATCTTCGTTCTTCATTTATGTTGACGAATAAATTTCAGTTCTTATTGAGAAGATACTACGGACAGCACCTGATGTTCGTAAGATATTTGTTTTGATCAAGGAAAAAAACAATGAAGCTGCAATGGAGAGATTGAAAAATGAAGTACGAATTTTATCTTTGGTCGAATAATGATTAAATATTTCGAGCTTATAATATCGATTATTAATATTATTGTATTATATATATAGATCATCAATGCAGAACTTTTCAAGTGTCTGAAAGAAACCTATGGAAAATCTTATCAACCTTTCATGTTGAGCAAGTTGGTCCCTGTTTTTGGAAATGTCTCTGAAATTAATCTTGGACTTGATGGACATATGGCTGATATGATGGGAAAAGAGGTTGACATAATCATAAATTCAGCAGCTAATACAACTTTTGATGAAAGGTTAATGAAAAATTTCAATTATAAGCAGAATCATAAACAAAAATGTGAAAATATGTAATTCACATTGACCTAATTGTGTTTCAGGTATGATGTTGCCCTTGATATTAACACTGGCGGACCTACCCGGCTCATGAACTTTGCAAAACAGTGCGACAAACTTAAACTCTTCATACAAGTATCCACAGGCAAGTTAACGTGTATATATGTTTTGTTTGTACGTATGCAGGTATGATTCTTGTCAAAAACATGAATTGTCTGAGAAATCACATTCTTGTTGATTGACTAACATTTTGGAGAAGTTTTGTTTTGTTGCATGCAGCATATGTCAATGGACAACGACAGGGGCGAGTGATGGAGAAGCCTTTCTGCTTCGGAGATAGTATAGCAATGGAGAGTCGTTTAGGAAACCAACAAAGATCCCTTTCTACGTTGCAAGTTGAGGATGAAATCAATTTAGTTTTGGAATCAAAACAGGGTTTCGAAGAAAATGTGCTCATCCAGGGAATGAAAGAACTTGGCCTAGAGAGGTAAGCAAGTATTCGAATTTGACTTGTTGCAAAGGTAGTCCAAGTTATACTAAATATGCACACAAACCAGTCCACTATGAATTTTTTCTATTTATTGTTCCATTATTTCTCATCAGAATTTTAGTAAATCCTATTTTCTATCCAAGTGACTGTATTTTCAATGTGTGACTTTTATCAGGGCAAACAAATTCGGGTGGCAAGATACCTATGTATTTACAAAGGCTATGGGAGAAATGATGATTGATAGTACAAGAGGCGACATACCAGTAGTTATAATTAGACCAAGTGTTATCGAGAGCACATACAAAGAGCCATTCCCAGGATGGATGGAAGGAAACAGGTAATTTCATGTATAAATCTTGTCAAAAATACCCTAAAAGAACAATATGAATTGAGACGATGAACTTTTATATTAAGAAGAGTCTTTCCTCCTCAGGATGATGGATCCAATTATTCTCTACTATGGAAAGGGGCAACTTACAGGATTTCTGGTAGATCCCAATGGAGTCATTGATGTAGTAAGTAGCTCGACTCTACTTCATAAACTGGTGATCTTTAGTCACCTCATCATCTGGTCTCTCACTTGGAACTCCCGAGAATTTCTATGGAAAACAATACTTGAAAGAAAGTAAATTCTACGCCTTCAATTAAGAAGCAAACCTCTTATTGTAAGGTCTCAAATTATAACAAGAAGAGTGCATTTATTTTATGGAACATATCTAACAAATGGCTTGCTTTAGGTTCCAGCTGATATGGTGGTCAATGCGACATTGGCAGCCATGGCAAAGCATGGGGCAGCTGGAAAATCTGAGAGCAATATCTATCAAATTGCTTCTTCTGTTGAGAACCCATTAGTTTTCAAAGACCTGGCCAGATTGCTCTACGAACACTTCAACTCCTCGCCCTTCACCGACTCAACAGGGACACGAATTCGAGTCCCAGAAATGAAGCTTTTCAGCTCTATGGAAGATTTTTCATCTCACCTTTGGAGGGAGGCACTTAAACGAAGCGGGCTAGGAGCTTTGACCAACCTTGATGGAAAGTTGTCCCAGAAGCTCGAAAGTATCTGCAGGAAATCAGTGGAACAAGCAAAATACTTAGCTAATATTTATGAACCATACACTTTCTACGGTGGAAGGTACGATTAAGATTTTGCACTTTTCTTTACCTTCTTTTTATTCCTTAATCTTGTCAAGCATTGTCCAGTTCAGCATACCTAATATATCAATAACGTATATAAATATACTGCCAGGTTTGACAATAGCAACACAAAAAGACTGATGGGATACATGTCCAAGGAGGAAAGCCATCAGTTCGGGTTTGATGTTGAGAGCATAGATTGGCAAGATTACATCTCTAATGTCCACATTCCAGGATTAAGGAGGCATGTGACAAAGGGTAGATGATTGCTAAACTATAATGGCTTCTGCTGAAAGAATTTCTGCAGCCAACTGTAAAAGAACTACTTGGTTCCACCCCCCCACCCCCCCTCCTTCCTAACTACTGTAATTTCCTATTAAGATTAGATAAAAAGAAGACTTGCGTATCTATCCCCAATGTATTATCATTTCAATGTACGTCTATGATGAATCCTAACCGCCTGAGTTTCCACGGTTCTACGTGGAACTTCGAGTAAAGTTAGGCAGCATGCTTGTCTTGAACTTCATTGACTCAGTCGACATTATGATCAAATGCAAAGCTAATAAATGTAAATTCTTTCCTCAAACCTTGCTGCTCAATATAATGGAGGACTCGAAAAGATAGAAAAAATTTGCTCGTCTGCCAAGACTTCCATATTAGTAGTAACAGAACTGCAGAGTTAACTTTCTTAATTTATAATCACATATTATTCCTCAAAATTAGGAAATTGTTCAAAACAGTAAACCTACAAAAACGGCATATCTTCAGACACAGAAAAACAGAAAAAAAAAAAAATATTGTCAAACAGAAAGGATATTCTATTAGAGAGAGAGAGAGAGAAGAAAAAACACCTACATGCTAAGCATCATAGGCCCAGATGAGAGAATAGGGAAGGAACAAGATCACTGTAGGACTGAGAACACCCAGCATACCGAAAGAGCCTTGTGCTTGTGGCAATGTCAAATGAGGTCTGCTCGGAGAAAAGGAACAATAGCAACACAAGGAAACTGATGGGATTCGTTCATGTCAAAGGCGGATTGCAAAACTAATGTGGCTTCTGCTGAAAGAATTGTGGTTAATTTCTTCAGCCAACAGTAAATGAACTGCTTCCTTTTTATATCTTCCTAACTGCTGTAATTTCCTTTAAGATTAAACAAAAAGAAGTCTCGAGCATCAGAAGAACGCCTAGAGGGAGCGTCCTTGCTCACGAGCAGAGGGGGGGCGTGCTACGAGCTTCTGGTGGACCAAGTTGTGATAAAACAACGTATTCGTAGTGCAAGATGCTGGGTGGCATGGAAACACCGGTAATTAATATCTACAAATTCATAATCGCTTGAGTTTCCTTGGTTCTACATTTAACTTTGATAAGACTTAAGCTCCATGATTGTCTTATAACTTCATGAATTCAGTTGCAAAGGTAATCAATGTTATGTTCAAACAACAGCAGAATAATCATTAACTGAAATCAGATGTGCCACAACAAAAAGCATTCCTTTTTAAGAACTTCTCAACCGCTGTATTTATCTGCCAAGTCTACCATGTTACAGAAGCAGAATTGCAGAAGTGATTATCTTCATTTATGGTCGCGTATTATACATCAAAGTTCAGTAAGGATTCTAAACAAGAGACCTACAGATATAGCAGCAATATTTTCTATATAATACTGTCCAACAAAGAAACCCCCCACCTCGCACTCAAAAAAAAAAAAAAAAAAAAAAAAAAGACAAAAAATTGCCAAAGAAAAATGAGGTTTCCTTCATGCAAATGATACATGCCAAGCATCACAGGCCTAGGTGAGAGAATAGAGAAGGAACAAGATCTACAACAGACCAGGCAAGACCAGCATACTGAAGGAGCCTTATGCTGGTGTCAACGTCATATGAGGTCTGCTTCGAGAAAAATAACAATTTTTGGACATAGCTGGGTTGCTTAAGATCCGACCTTTTATCAGTACCATTTAATGCTGGTATGTAGCTAGTCGATCTTACAGGGATTCCCAAAGTGTAAGCGAGAATGGGAAGAATCCATTTGGCCAGAGCCTTGCTACAGAACTTCACGAGAAGTATTGTTGGGATTCCCACAAGAATTCTACCCACAAAAGCATGAAGCCCAAGATGAGATGTCAGTATGCGCGGAACATTTTCATGGTGAAACTGGTGATATGTTTGCTGTATCCCAATTACCTGGACAAAATTATTTCAAGTCATGAAATTCGCATATCTGAGTCACGGTGAGAGAAGAATGAATAGAAAGTGCAAATTATACATTGACATAACTGGATGTCCATTCATTTTTGACACCATTTTGCTAAAAAATTCAATGTTAATGCATGAACCAAAACAAAAGGCGAAGTACATAATAGTTCTCCTTCCACTGGCAACATTATTCCTGCTAATGCAAATGACTAACTTGAAAATTGAAAACACGTTCAAAATAAGAGCTGCAAAAGTATGCTTACAATTCCCAAGGCAACACCATTGAAGGCAGTGTGATACTCATAACTTGGAGTTGGAAGCTCTGGCGTAGGGTAAGCAAAGAGTAACAAGAAGCTAAGCGTAGCCCAGAATGACGCAACTGCAACAAAAGGATATGAAGACATAAAACACACATCAAAATGCTTAAAGATTAGAATCAATAAAGGCAAAGCATACGAAGTACCGAAGGACACACTCCAACTAATAAAACTACTAATGAATCTTTGGTACTTTAATGCTCTTAAATGCATTTACTGATGCTGACATTAGAGCACATTCAATTCGTAGGCTAACATTTGCTAACATCACAAATTTAGACAGTTTGGCCAATCATTATTATTCTATGATGTCTGGAACTAAGCAGGGTTGAATAATCAGCACAAATATAAGAATATTATTCAATAGGCATACAATACGACATTAAAGGAAGATTTACAGACTGCAAGACTAGTCCCATTGCTGCTACCGGTAAATTTTTTAAACTCTTTTGGAGAAATATAAGTACACACTTTCATTGGAAGGTTAAGAAGAAATATAAGTACACACTTTCATTTGAAGGTTAAGTAGATACAACATAGATAAATAGAGAGATAATAATATACGTCACTAGTGCATGTTCAACTTGGAAATGCATATGTAAGAAGTGTGATGTTGCTTGACAGCCGGCAGAAGTGTTGCGTCAAATTAGACAAGATAACAAGAAGTCTTCATCTAACAGTTATACCAAAGAACTGGCCAATTATTTTTAGCAGAATGAGAAAACATTGGTCTTGTAGGAGATATTTAAGAGAAATTATAAGTGCTTGTTTGGTAGTGCTTTCAAGTGCTTATTAGTTGTTGGTTCTATGGAATGTAAAGATAAATATGTGGGCAGCAAGTTATGGGTCCTAAGAAAAATGTGGATATAGAGGATGTTTGACCAGCTTAAATTATAATTTAAGCAATGCCAAGCATATGATACATATGATAAGTTTTTATTGAGCTAATATTGAATTGGTTTTTGACTGGCTTAAAATTAAAATTTACGCATTTAACTCTTTAGCATATCAAGTTCTGCCAACAGGTAATTATGCATTTATCAAGTTGGTAAAACTTTGTTTACTTTATCACAAATCATTACTTTGCTAATATCAGACATTACCAATGTTAACACTTAAGATTATATTCAAAAAATATTATGGTTTTATCAATTAAAGCCACTCTGTAGCTTTTCTCGAGTATTCACAAGCACTAGTGGCATGACATTAATTATGATAACGACAGCAAAATTTGCCACTCAAGGATGAAATACTGCACAGGTCAGCATCCCTACCGTTTTGTCCCGAAACTATGAAATCATCTATGTACGTATCAACACAAAGCCACAATGTCAGGATCCCCAATCCAAGAGCTAGACCACCAATAATGTCGATCAAGCTGTGCATCCCCAGGTAAATCCTTCCTACAAGAAAACAAAGTTTCAAAATGGGTGAAAAAGTTAATTTTTAAAAGAATAAAAGAAAAGTAAAAACATAAAGAGTAAGGTGAAACTTACCTACGCCAATAAGACCAACAACCAAACAAACCAGGGCAAACCCCATTAATTCTGTGCTGACATCTTCGCTTCCAGTGTATGACAGGATGTAGTGTAACATGTACCTGGTTGCCCAAAAAGAAGCTTAAGATTTAAGTTTAAATGAATCATTGAAAAGCTAATGTGTGATAAAGAATATCCTAGTATATATGGGTTCTGATTTCTAAATCACTAATTTGCTTAAATTGAACATAGTAATAGCATTTTAAAACTTAGAACCATGTATTGGAACATAAAGGCATGCATTTTTTGCATGTACAACGACATTAATCACACGAAAAATGTAATCGTACCATATTTCTGCATTTATGGCCATTGTACAAGTAGTTCATATACACCCTCGTAATGTATTGAGAATAAGTTTGTGGTTTTCATAAAAGTATTTCGTGTACACCCTCAAGAAGGCACGACTTAAAGCCACTGTGTCCAATGTGCATCAGAATCTTGTATGCCTTACAATTGTGTAGCTAGTTACATTGAAGTTCAACAAGAAACACAAAAAGCTACAAGAATCAAATATGAGAGGATCTCCATACCCTGATAAGCAGACAGTATTAAGAGTATGTGAAGAAGGTAATCCGTATTCCATTGCATTATCTTCCTCATCTTTGGTGGCTGTTACTCTCCTAACAGGTGGCGAACTTGGTCTGGGTGCTGATACCACATCCTAAAAACATGGTCCAAACAAAATTGGAGAATAGGATTGAAATAATTGATGCGGAATTATGCAAGGTAATATATAATTATACATGTGATGATCAAAATAGGGAAAAGAGAGTACCTTTATACAATTTCCCATATAATCACAAAAGGAGATTAAAAGAGTCATCTGCCTAGCCAATTTGCAATGCCCACTCTACAATATAAAACCAAGAAAACAACATTAATGATTATTTCCCTCAATAAATGTAAATCTGGTAGAGGGTGATAGAGAACAAACCCAGAAGAGCAAAGGAAGAAAGGCAGTGTAGAAAGGCACAGAAACTACACAAGACAGTACAGAAAATAATGCATCCAAAAAACTATGCTCGTATTTCTGCAGGACCCAACAAAGTTAGATCAAGATCATTCCAAAAGCCCCATAAAAATCCAATCTTTCAATACATATTCTTCAGATTAACAAAGCCCTCAAATACAAACCTGGATCTTGAGAACAATGGAAGTACCAGACATTACATAGCGAGAAACCAATGGCTGTGTAAGAGATCTGAGTTTCTGGGTCACATTGAGAATTGAAGAAAACACAATCCATGTTGCTATTCCACCAAGAAAAATTAATTGCCAGCCCGGTATGCTTTCCATTCTAAATTCTTGTTCTTCTTTATGATTTTTCTCTTATTTTCCCTCTCTCTGTTTTTCTGTTCCTGTGTATCTGAGAAAGAGGGACGTTGAACAAGAAGATGATACCTGAAACACTTCCAAAAATCCAAATATTGAATTGTGGAAAACTATGAATTGGACTTGGAGGACTCTTGCTCTCCAGATGGAAACAGAGAGGATTTTCTTGATTTTCTTGATTTTCTCTCTTTATTTTAGTTTATTGTTTCTGCATATGACAATTTTCCAATTGTGAGGTTCTTAGGTGTGGGGTTAAATAAATTAAATTATGAAGAATCTTCGTTGGAGTGGATTTATAGCTGATATGGAAAACTCCACGCACGCGTATCTTATTTGACCAGAAAAAAATGTACGGTTTTACAGAAATGAGTAAAAAATAATTGAAAGACTATCGAGCATAACAAGGAGAAACATAAAAGTCCTACTTCCTAGGTTTGATGACGATTTTTTCGAGAAATAAAAATTGTAAATAGTAACTTCTTAAAAAATATATAGTTAAAAAATGAAAAAAATAGATTTATTTATAAAATATTTTATTGTATAAATGTGTAATTAAAAATGAGTATGAGAATTAAAGTATTTTATTTTAAAGGGATACAAATATGAGTTTATTGTTTATCCAATATTTTCGTCTCAATATTTGGAATCGACTATTTTATATATTTATTTTTTCATTTTGTTACTTCTATGACCTTCTATTAGCATTAAAGTACTTTTAAAAATGAAAATAAAAACTTTAACTTGTTCGTTGGCAACTCCAACATGGAGCTCCGTGTAAAGTATATGAGGAAATTTGTAAATGGATTTTGCAACATGGCATGTTATATACTAGTTTTTGTTTGATTTAAATAGAAACAAGATTTTTAGTAAATTTGTATAAAAGTCAGAGAAATAGTGGCCACAAAATTGATCGAAGTTGAAAATTTATAAACTGTGAGATTTGAGAAACAAATGAATTTTTAAAAATGAAGATGAAATAGGTTCTTTTTTTTCGTTCTTTTTCTAATACTAGTTTTTTACCCGTGCAATGCATGGGTTGTGCTATTTTGAAAGTCATTTTAGCGTACCTATGACAATAGGAATAAGAAAATTGCAATTTGCCAACATTTAATAAATGGTGTTAAGACTTACAAATTCAAAGAACAATTATTAATTCATATGCTTCAAATATGAGCACAATATCACGGGAAACTCTACCTAAAGAACTTGTGAAGATGTTCTAGCAAAGTATCTCAACTTCTATTATCATAGGTCTTATCAGCTCAATTATTGCTTTCCTTGGTGTCTCCCATTTTTCCATTATTTAGTCTAGTATTCATCGTTACTTGAATGCATTTTGGAGAACTGTTTGGTCCATCTACCATGTTAGTAAGAAGAAAATTCAATTTCTGCTTGAAAAATGTATGAATTGCATGGGAATCATTAGTTTCTAATGAGTAATCAGAAAAGGTATTTAAAAATCAACTAATCAAAAAATTTCACCGAATTTGTCACTTGCATTCATGTTCACAATTCAAACATTAAAGACAATCAATTGAAATAAATTTCCAAAAAGCATCCTGAGTTTAATAAGTAATGCAAATATATTTGATGTGTGCAAATAATGAAGGAGAGATTGAAGAGATATCTTCGATTCACAATTTGACGGTCATGTTTAATCTAGTCAAATATCCTTCCTAGAATTTAATAACCTCTAAAACAGAGATTAATCAAACTCTAATTGGTTCATAATGTCAAAGATATCAAACAATTACGTATTTGTTCTTTAAACAAGCAGTCGATCAAAGTACATAAACATCCAATAGGCTTTTTAGAATTCAAATACAACAACCATAAAATCCCAATAGGCCTTTTAGAATTCAAATACAACAACCATAAAATCATGCATAGAAGAATACTCAATACATAAAATATGAATGAAAAAAATGAGATTTATTTAGATCTCACAGTTTGAATAATTCCTAGGCTTCAATATCATTCGACCAAGAGATGAAATTTAGCAATATATCAATTATCCTTAAGCAAAAAGAGAGAAAAGTCTTTTGGGGAAGTTCTCCAGGTTTTTGGACGAGTTTTAGGTTTTAAATCGTGAAAAAAAATTGTTGCCATAGTGGTTGGAAGAAATAAGAAAACAAAAAATTCGCGTCCAGATTCCTCTATGCGACTGCATAGAACAAAGTCATGCGGTCGCGAGGAACAATTGAAATGCAGCCTGAAGTTCCCTGGAGGTCACCATGCGACCGCATGGATTTTTAGCTTTCAGTGTTTTGGTCATAACTTTCTCTCTCATTGTCCGATTGAGGTGATTCAAGATGCATTGGATAGCTAACTCAAAGGGATACGATTTGGTTTAGATATCATTCTCCAATTTGCTCTTCTACCATGTCAAAAATGGGTCTCAATATGATACTAAAAATTAGTGCATAACTTTTTTTGACGAAAATTGATGTGTGATTATACTTTGATTGTATTTCACCTCTTTGATTTCATTTTTCATCCAATTGACCTCTAACAAGCTTGAATCTTCATTTCGTCACTCGTCTTATCTAGAGATTAATTGCAACTTGGTCCCTAAACTTTTCACTTTCTTCTATTAAGATCATTTCTCGCTCTTTTCTTCCAAATTCCATATTTTCAATCCATTTGCAATCTAAATCAAAATATAAGGGTACAGAATAAATTTAGGCTTTAATTAATCACAAAAGCATAATTTTATTTTTTGCGACACTTAGCTTTTGCTCGTCCTCGAGTAAACTCAAATTTTATTTTTTCCAAAAATATCAAAATTGTAATGCAATTAACATAGAACAATCAGACACTTGAAAACACATAACACATCATGAACAAGCATGCTCACACAACTCATAATCAACTAGCAAGCGCTTTCATATGAAGTTGGAGTAAACAAAATATGTAAACCCTCACGAAATATAAGCACTCGACTCTCATGTGTTTAATGGGTAAGTGTTTCACTCAAGTTCATTCCAATGGATATGATCTACCATATGCTTGCAAATTTTCTCATTCTCCACCAATCAGATCACATGCATAAAGTAAATCATAAGGTCTTTTCTATGGGTTTTAACGTAGCTTAGGGTCTAGGTGGGAAGTATTTGGGTAAGTGAATCAAAAGCCATTGAACTAGTGGAGTAAAGATGAATTAACTCAAATCAAACGCATACATAAAACGTGTAAGATCAATCTCTCCACTCACAACTTCTTTGCACCTATTTCACACAATTCAATCTCTTTTTGTAATATATTACAAGGAATCATGAACATAAAAATTTTTGTAATATTGAAAACTATTTCCCCATCACTTTTTTCTCTTTCATCTTTTTCATCATTTTTTTCTTTTTTTTTTTGATTTTTTTAACTCAAAATATTGCACTAATATTGGAACTTATGAATTATAATTGAGAACATGTTCCATTGCACCATCATAATCCTACTAAAATTTTAGACACCCCCACACTTATTTCTTTCGCATTCCCATGTATCAAAATGAAGACCAATACCTCACTACCTCTATGGCTTGGGTAAAGATGGTATTTTTTCGGATTCAAAGCTTGTAACGTGGGTTTACAAAAGAAAAAGACTACAAGGCTAAAAGAGGCTTAACAAAAGGTAAAATTAGTCGCTAGGTAGGCTATTTGGCTAAGGTGGCTAACTTATGCAATAAAGATGGCCTTAATCATGTTCATGCATGCATGTATCAATGTGACCTCGAAGAGAATCAAGGCAAGTTCTAGAGAAACAAGTCTATGGAAGAATATCACTTATGAAAGAAAAATAGTGAAACTGATATGGATGTGTTAGTCCAAAGACTCAAAATCTCATCGACTTTTTGTCTACAAAATTTAGTTACTACCATTCTCAAAGAAAATAACTTACCTATTTAACTCTAAGTTGTGAGATAATCCGTTCAATCATGTTTTGAGTTCTTCAAAAGTTTAATTGAATCTAGCAATAGCATACGCAACCAAAAATCATTCAAAACCCAAAAATTTTTTTTTTTTTTTTTTTTTTTTGGAATTTTATAAAAAATAACTAAACATACGAACTAAAAATTTTAAACTCATTTTAAGATCCCTCCCCCACATTTAAAACTTACATTGTCCTCAATGTAGAGTAAAATGCAAAGAGAATGATAAAGATAATCATAACATGAATGCAAAAATGAAAATAAAAGCAAAAAGATAAAGGAACGAACTCCTTTTGGGTTGCTTCCCAAGCAGCGCCTTTCTTTATTGTCTTCGACTCAATTTATTGCGTTCTTCTTCAATCAGCATAAATTGGATCTTCAAGATCCAATGTTGTCATCTCCTCCACTTGGACACCTTCATAGAAAAGTTTAAGTCTATGGCCATTCACCTTGAACACTCTCATATGCATCATTTCGAATTTCTTCTAATTCTTGAAGTTGTAACTTTCTGTGCTCTCCACCGGCATCTATCTTCATGTTGAAACTTTTGATAGCCCAAAAAGCTTTGTGTTCTAATTCAACTGAAAGATGACATGGTTTCTCAAACACTAACTAGTAAGGCCACATTCCAATAGGTGTCTTGTATGTAGTCCTGTATGCCCATAAAGCTTCATCTAAGCGCAGACTCTCATCTTTTCTACTTGGACAGACTGTCTTCTCAATGATGGATTTGATTTCCTAATTTGGCATATCCACTTGTCCACTAGTTTGTGGATGATAGACAGTGGACACCTTGTGTGTTACATAGTATTTTCGCAGCAAGGCTTCCACAGTTCGATTGAAAAAATGAGTGCCTCAATCACTTATGAGAGAGCCCTTGGGGTTCCAAACCTGGAGAATATGTTGGACTTGATAAAATCTTCAACTACTTTGGAATCATTAGTCCTGGTGGCCTTTGCTTCCACCCATTTCGAAACATAGTCAACAACAAGTAAAATATAAGCATAACCGAAAGATGTAGGAAATGGTTCCATGAAATCAATGTCCCAAACATAAAAAATTTCACAAACGAGTATGGGTGTTTGTGGCATTTCATTTCTTTGGGATAGATTACCTATCTTTTGACATTGTTCGCAGGTCTTGCAGAATGAATAAGCATCTTAAAACAAAGATGACCAATAAAATCCACATTCTAATATCTTTCTTGCTGTCATTTTTTATCCAAAGTGACCCCAACATGTATAGGAATGACAAA